TTAATTCAGTTTGTTGGTCGAGATTAAGAATGGTTATTAACATATGTAGCATGCCGCTCTTTAAGGTTCGCTATTATCTTGACTTTGCAGCTTCAGATATTAGCATCTTAAGTTTATTCAGACATAGAAATAGAGATTTAAGGATGTATAGATATGTATGATATGATATGTAGCTATAATCTACAATATGTATGACATGATATATAATCGGGGCGCTGTTTAAGTACATAAGGAACTCAAGGAGATAACTGGATGAGTATATAAATACAAGTTCAATCGTTGTTGCAACGTTTCAGTTGAAAGGCAGTCTTTCCAAGATATTAACTGAGAGTACTGAGATTAACTGAATCCCGTAAGCTTGCATTTACGAATGCCTTAAACACAAGAAACCTGCGATTCTCCACAAAGGGAATCTTTTTGCTATGCATGGGGTCAGTCTTTTGACATAAACGAGGATAATCAATATTACAACCCATCATCATTTTTGCGTTGGAATCCAACCTTTATTGAAATTAGCTACATAATTTGCTACAAAGAATACATTATGATTTGTTGTTAATGTGGTCGATTGATCGAAAGAATGCGTTGTGAAGACGACGCACAATTGCCCTCAGAGCATTGTAAACTAGGAAGCACTTAAGGGGCAAAGAACTGGAAAATTAATATTCGGAATTTGACATGAACTTGGATCAAAGCCCATTGGCAATTTGAATGTCCTGTGGTAAGTTTAGTGCAAGGCCTTTATAGCCTCTTTGCCCCTTGCCATGTTTTCTGTAGAGGTGCATAATGGGGCAAACCCTTGGAATCAGCATTTCCTTTACCTGTGTCAAACCTCTCAATAATTGCTCAGGAACAGTACCCGGGTCCATGTCATTGCAAACACTGAAATTCTTTGGGGACTTGTTGTGTCTCTTTGACACCGGTAACAAACAAAGTGATATGCTGCCAAGTTTTCCATGTTCAAGCCTCTGCACAAATTGTACAATGGCGATTATCTAAATGCTCTTGATCTAAATAAAAATTGTGCATTTCATTCTGAACGAATTCCTGCTCATACAAAGGGTTGTCAACATTTTGCGAGCCACGTTCATGCAAATATTGGTCTGAACTACTTATATAAGATCCTCATTCGTACTATTCTCATCACACAGTCCTACCTGATCGTTTTTTTACTATACCTACTGAGGTATTGACCTTGTCTCATAAGATCTTTTCGCTCGTTTCCTCATATTCTCAAGCCTTTCTGGTCGTTTTTGGACGCTTTCTTGCTGCCTTCTCTCTCTTGCATAAGCCCTATTCCCTTCCCTTCGCATCTCACTTTCTTCACGTGTATTACTCCCTTTTTCCGTTTATAAGCAGCCCTACGCCTTTTCAAAGAGATTTTCCTTTTCTTCTGAGGTTTCTAGTTGCAAATGTTGTCGTGCTAAGCTTTTCCCTTCGTCTCTCAAGTACCTTGCTGGTGCTGGCTTCAATTTTGTGCTTATGAGAAGCCTTTCGCTTCGCCACAGAACTTCCTTTCTATTCCGGCGTCTGCGGATGAGATTCCTCATCTCTTTTATCTCTTTACTTTCCTTTTTCATCGCATGGATTTACTACGGAACTCGATTGACCTTGCACAGGCTCGATTCGAACGCGTTTGTTTCACACTTGAAACGTACACGTTTCTAGGGGGAAACTATAACGTTTCTAAGGTCTAACTATTCAGTTTTCTCTCAAATACTTTAATTGTCAACGACGAAGTAAAACCCCGTTTCCTTATCTCTTTTTCATAGATCAAAAGGTCTTCGTTCGGTGTACTCTAAAATACGTTTGAGAGGATTCATACTGAATAAGTTTGCTTATTTATCATTAAGTTTGAATATTATGTATACGTGTATAAAAAACACAATGAATATATACAACACAATGTATATGTGCAACACAGTGGACGAGACAATATGAACAAAAGAAAGAAGTAGAAATATTATGAATATTGAGTAAATTGAGAGGACGAAAAATAGAGCAAGTGAAAAGTCAGTGGATATAACAGAGACATTTAACAATGTTCGTGCATGAAGAACAAGAAAAATGTTCAAGATGATCAACTTCATAATTTAAATCACGAAAGAACTTTTTTAGTTTAAAATTGTATGCAGAAGGGGAGTATAGTCAGTGACCATTTTTAGGTCATTTGGCAGAGAGTTAAACAGTGAAATTCCGCTGTATAAGAGTTTAGTTTTAGCAAGCCCAGATTTGACTAAAGGTACCCTTTAGCAGCGGATCAATATGCTCGCGACGTGCATTTCCCCACACAGTGATGTCATATAATAAACGAAGGTGTGTAAAGGCATAATAAAACATAAATTCTACACTTCATTGGAAGGGATGAACAAATACGTTTAAATAGATACAGTCGAAAATTTAGCAGTTTGAAGATTTTATCCACTTCATCATCAGCGTTGTAATCATTTAATCATTTATCACAACACAATTACAATTACACAATTATACAATTATTACGCATATACATGTACAATAACAGAGGACTTAAGTGTGACAGAAGAAAGGAACATGGCTTGCGTCCCAATTGAAACCTGACCACAACACATAATTAAACTTTGCCACTTGTTTCTCACCAAGCGCAATGATAACTTTCTTATGTTTCGTGACGAAAGTAGAGCAGAAATTACAAAGACAGACGTAATCGGTCAATGTATTCCGGACACATATAAACCACGGAAATTCATATACGTCATGATCACAGGCGAACACTCAGCATGCAGCATCAAATCGCTGAGTTGCAATAGATTGTAGCATACATGCATGTGGAATAGGAAAGCCTCCCAAGTATAACGAAAAAGAACTCTGTGAAGTTAAGCCTTTAGGTGGTGTGCCGTGTGCGTTAGCATGATTGATAACTTCTTCTATGCACATAAACGATCTAGCGTATACTTAGATATTTTTAACTCGTCTGCCACATTAAAATATGATTTCAGTGTAGCTTGAAGTGTAGCTTGCGTATATAGCTTTATATGACGCTTTTTAACTTTTTAATAGAAATATATATTAAAAGCGCCAATGCGTAAATTGGTTTGCGTTCATATAGACTTAGCCGCAATTCTTCATAAGTTATAGCCTTTATATTTGTTGAGCAAAAATATTTGTAAATCCGCAACAGAATATGTCTTGCATGCAGTCCTCCACAGAAGACTTAATTAGAGCCTTCGCAAGGCATAAACGAATCGTCTAAATTAATAACCTCTTATATATGCTTAAGCCTTGCAGTGTACGTCCTAATCATGCAGAAGGAATTTGAACTTGTTACTTATTCAGTAGTATTTAAATTGGGAGCAAAGCAGAAATGCGCAAATATGAAATAGTGACGAAAATATGTATATATGAAATGCCTGTAAACATATAGCTATGCTGCCTCCACGAATTACTAATGCCTAACGAATTTGAAGTGTTTGACTCTTTTGAACTGACGTTTGAAATGCATCACATGCATGCATGGGTGGCAAGCTCCTCCCAATACAAGTGGCTCATTTCAGTATGAGAGTATTTTCAAGGAGTATTTGGGACATGTTTTGCAGCTTAATTTAGATTATTAGCATCTTAAGTTTAATTTCTCCCCATAAATATAGTCATTAAAACATCAATAATAGGATTGTAAGATTGAAAGACCTCGCTTGAATAAGTGCCTAAATGAATCTTCTCATTTTAAATATCACTTAGGTCACTGAACTTACAGCACAAAATCGAGCAGCAATACAAATTTTTTTCTCAGTTTTACCATAAAACCAACTTATAAGGATTCGTATGATGTCATTTCTTGAACAGTCTTTGTTGTATAGCTGTGAGAATGGATCTATCTCCGTATTACACGATGCAATAATTTCGTGCAACTTGCAATGAAATTCTATTTTCGAGAAATGTAGCCAACTTAGTCGATCTTGCAAATGTTTGTATAGGAATGCATCGATCCGTGGAATGTACAAAAGTTTCATAGCTACCAAATTTACATCTCTCAGAAGTTTGTGAACCTTAACCAATAATCGGTAAAACGCATTAGAATTGTAATAGTTATAATATAACAAAATCAAACATTTTATGTATTATGAAGGCTTTTCTAAACTTTTGCTGCGCGTTTACGGTCACGGTGTGACTTGTGAACTGTGAAATAACTTGTGAATAGGGTTGTCAGCGTCAATCAAATTCTGCTTCCAATCAGCCATTACAAAAAGGTTGCATGAGAAGTCGTCCATGAAATAAGAGCTTGATATTTCCTTTCGGCATAATTAATTTGTAGCCGCGGAAATTCTTTGAACATGCATCATGGATTCTGCGTGCTTGCAGCCAATAGTGTTTTGCGTCGTATCGTATCACACTCAAAATGCATGAAGATCGATACTTGGGCTATGCACGAAAACGATACTATTTAAGGAAGCTAATTTTATCAGCTTTGCCCATAACACCTTCATCTTGTTGTTGGAGTGAGTAACGAAGACTTTGAACCAGGTAAGATGAAATTCTCATTTCATATTTAATCGTATGCGTCTACCTGTATTCTTTTAGGTTGTTTCAATGGGGAAATTTCATACAATTTGTAAAGACATCTCGCTACAATTTCTCTTTCTTTTCTTTTCCCATTTTCAGGTTATTAAATAAGCTGCTGTTGCTGCTGGAACGAATTCTATCAAAAAACAATATGAAAGCAGGTAACATAAAATGATTATGTGCTATATTTTTCAACCACTAATAGCGATAATCTGTGAACTGAATGTATAATTAAGGCCATAGGAGCCTTCGTAATTTGTCAGTTTTTCCACAATTCTTAAACTTTTTTATTGCGATGGTTGGTAGTCTTTTTAACTTTTTTAAGAGTACTTTACCTGATAATTACTCTTACTGAACCTACAATATACAACCATCGCTTTTCCTCTGCCCAATTGAATCTGATTTGAGATTTAAATTAACAATGGTGTTTTTTATTGCTAGATCTGTTTTTCTTTGTTGCCGTAATGGCTTTTTACTTGGTATCAAGTCCCGTACACGCCAAAAGCAGAGGTAAATAACCAAGAATTAGACCGTCTAAATGTACACGAAGTATATCATTACCTATATTGGACCTGATTGGGCATCCTGTCGTATTACCATTGAACTCGATGATAACTAGAATCTGTTTGAAGTGCATGCGATGCGACCAAAATGCGACCTAATATAGTTGATGTAGAAACCGTTGCCATCCCTCACAGTACATTTTTTTAATCGTCAACCATATATAGAAGCGAGGGATGTTTGTTCCAAAGTTTGTCCGTGGATATTTTTCCGGTTTCAAGTATGTGGCTCAGATGGCTTTACATATCCCAATTACTGTGTGTTGAAGGAGACAGCTTGTGATTTCGGTCTAGATATCAAAGCTGTTAGTCTTGGACCTTGCCGTAAGTAAATCAGTAATCTTCACTCTGCCCAACTAGAGAAGTCCCGAAGGAAGCAACACAAATTTGGGTTTAGAAATTAATTATTAATCTTTAGTAAGTGTGAATATCAGCAAAATTGTCGTGTTCAGAAGGAAGTAATCAGCCAAATATTCTGTCAAAAAACCTCGCCCGCTGGGATAAATTCCCTTTCAGAAAATTAAGTAATTAAAAATCCAATATTAGGAATTCTTGGGGAAAGGTCTTTCACAACTTCCGGCATGTTAAATCACAAACATAAACTTCTAGTTCGGACCATTTTGTTCATGCTCCTTCGGCGAAGTTTTCAAACTAAGGCCCTTGTTTGAACCATTATTTACCACAGTCTCAAACTAAGGAAATCAGCCAACATTAATTTTGCTTTAAAGATAGCTTAATATTCTTAAACAACTGTCTGTGCCAAAGTAATTAAAGTAAATTTTATTTTCTACAGAACCAAAGTGTCGTAATTACTGCACACTGGAATATAATCCTCAATGTGGTACAGATGGAAAAACATATGGTAACCCATGTTTTTTGATAGCTGCCCTGTGTGTGAGTGATGGAAAAGTGAGACTGGCTCATCATGGAGAGTGCAGTATGTACATTACACAGAATTTTAGTTGGTTTTATATATATATTTTGTTATTCCAATCGGTACAAAAATTATGATGTCATATAACATGATAGCCCTATACTAAATTTTAAACGCTTAATATTCTATTTTAGAACCAAAGCCGGAGCCAACGTGTGCCGTTGCTTGTCCCAGAATAAGACTCCCTCCAGTATGTGGATCCGATGGCAATACATATCCCAATTACTGCATATTGGAAGAGACTGCTTGTCAATTCAAACAGAACATCACGATTGTGCACGAAGGCCTTTGCAGTAAGTAGTATTTATCAGTTTTACTGAGTACTGGACTAGGAATTTAGGCCAGACTTTCGCACTTATGGGTGAAAAGATCTGAAACTCAGCAAATCCTCACCAGAAACTCAAGACATTGATTACAATAACGTCAGGATTTCGGATCAAAGATGACTGCCTTGTTGTAATAGAATTATACAGGGTGTATCAAAAAAAGGTAATCCAACTTCAACGCGCTATTGTACGTGAACTACTCTGTCTATGAATGAAATTTTTTCACATTCGGAAAGATCAGTCCTTTCACTAACGAATGACATGCTTTTAATACAAAATGGTGGAAAAATGAGCACATACGAGACTGATAAAAAATGTTAATAACATATTTTTATCTTTGAGCCAAATTAAAGCAGTGCATAACAAAAGAAAAAAAAAAAAATAATCACGAACATGTCACAGCTTGCACTGGTTTTACAACATGTTTATTGCAATTATTTACATTTACACTATTTAAAAAGAGATGCCTTCAACTTGATCACCATCTCTATCGATATAAAATTGACATCGCCGCCGCATTGCTTGGAATGTTCTCCTGATGTGGTTTATTCCTACTTAATATATATGCATATGCGGGTAGTTTACTCGCGGAAACAAAATTCTTCAATTAAGTCCCAAAGGGGGCTAATTTTCAATGGTTTTAGTCCCAACTCTCAGAGTTAAAAATATGCGATTTTGACTAACACTTTTTCTCAGCCTCCTATTTGTTCCTTTTTTCACTATTTGGTACTAAATACATGTCATTCGATAGATAAAAGCCTAACCTTTCCAAAAGTGATAGAGTGAGTAGTTCACGCACAATAGCGCGCCAAAGTTGGATTACCTTTTTTTTTATACACCCTATATAAGGCATGAGACAAAATTTGAATTTAAAACTTCTATCTTACCTAATTATATGTTACAGCTGCCGAGTTCGATTTAAGACGGACAGAAACTCAGTATAGTTATTACAATTTTTTCGTAATTTTGTCTTACCTTTAACAGATTCCCCAATAATGTCATTTTAGCAATGCGTTAGCTACTTGCGATCCATTATTGTTGATCCGAGGTCTCTCGACGAATTACGAAAGGCTACAATCTACAATAATCACCAATACAACAACTAACTTTATATATTAAACTAATTTGATATTATCTTAAATGTGTGTCAAGCCATAAATTTTTAACTTAATGTAGAACCGAAGTGTCAGGCAGGTTGCCCAAAAAATTACGATCCTCAATGTGGTACAGACGGCAAGACATATGGTAACCCGTGCATGTTGAAATATGCTCAATGTGAAAGCGACGGGAAAATTAGACTAGCCCATCATGGAGAGTGTGGTAAGTAAAATACTCCTCAATCTCAGATTCTCACTGCAATATATACGCAGAACCCAAGTATATATGTCGTAGGAGGCTCTGGACGCAACAATAGGGAGGTTAAGATCGACTTCCGCTACGAGTACCGATACCAATAATCAGTCACGCGCATGCGCAGACGTAACAATCGTCCAAAATGTGACAACACTGGAAGTCGCGAGTACGGTTTTGGGGCTGAAAATGGAAGTGGATAGGTAGGCGAAGTACCGAATTATATTTACTGTATTATTGTCATTTTCTGCAGTAGTTTTCTAATAATATTATTTAGTTTTTAGTTGTATAATGTTTCTGCTTTGTTTGGCGAGACTTAAAGATTGTAATTAGAGTTTTTGATGTGAATATAGCCGCTATACTCCGCCATGTTTATTTACTTCTTACGGAAGTCACAATCTTAACGCTTTAAAATTTCCGCGCTGCCAAACTGTAATACGTCATGTATTTTCGTATCGGTACTGGTAGTGGAAGTAGATCTTAACCTCCCTAATATGACTCCCAAGACACAACAGATTATCTTAGATAGCGCATGTACTCTAATATATTGCACGATTCCCCACGATACCACAAAATTCTGCTTTGAGAATAAATCATGGGCCGGTTGTTTGAAAGGCGTTTAGCTTAAACGGTGCATAAGCCAAAGTTTAAAATTACTCTCATACATCTTGTGAATGACTATAAATCTGCATCGTATGCATTAAATATGTACTCTCATTGACAATTAAGCTATTTACATCAAAATATTTCAGCTCAGTTGTTCAATAAATATACAGTTTTGTTTTCCATTTTGAACTTATCCACTGTTTAAGCTAAACACCTTTTGAACAACTGGCCCCAGAAAGATATCTGAAAATGATGCAAATTTTAAAAATATCCTTCGTTTTTTTACCTGAAATAAGACATTGCTCTAATAATAACTCTTTCTTATCTGGCTCAAATTACAATATTTATGAAGCGGCGAATGTGAACGTGGTTCTCTCCGCGACCATTTGCTCTTTCGCAGCGCAAATTATATCTCCTGAAAGTTAAAGACGTTGTCTTCCGAGTAGCTATACGATTCCTTCCGCTTCAAAAGTAACGTGTGACCAAAAATTGCAACATTTGCATAAATGAAGTGAGAAACATTGAAAATATTTTCAATCGTTGATTAGTTACGAGGAAACAATGCGAGTTTTCGTCATTTTATTTTATCAATGAAAATTTAACATTAGGTATTTGACATATTTAAGCCACGTTTCAAGGTAATCGATAAAAAGAAAATATTTTTTTCAATTTTTTTAATTCTACCCCTTGCCAAAATCTTAACAATGATTTGCTTTACATGTATTTGATTTAGTGACAATGATTTGCTTTACATGTATTTGATTTAGTGACGCTTAGGAGGTGTAGAATCGATTTCCGAGGTTTTAAAGCCATATTAGAGATTGGGGATGGGCGGATGCAAAGTCTGTTTGGGGCACTTTCCCTATGAGGCCTATTTAATCCAAATGTTTCTGTGTTGCATCGTATATCTACTTTCATCGTGCATCCCCCTAAACCCGGGATTTGGGGCAAAAGCCTACGTCTAAAGGGCCACGTTGAAGCTGAAATCGGCATTCGTTATTATGTGTCATAATATCCTAGGATCGATAGTCTGCATGTATCTCAGAATAATGGACTGGAGCCTACACGATGGCTTAAATTATTGCATGATGCTTCAATCCTAGAACCAAAGTCGGAGGAGAAACCGAAGACGTGTGCCGTTGCTTGTCCCAAAATACTGCTTCCTCCAGTATGTGGATCAGATGGCAATACATATCCCAATTACTGCATAATGGAAGAGACTGCTTGTCAGTTCGAAGAAACTATCGAATTTGCTCACGAAGGACCTTGCAGTAAGTTGTTAAAAGTCGTAATTTTGACCGCTGAATCAATATTAAACATGTTTTACTCCTCCACGGAACTTATTTGTGGTTTCTATCAAGATTTACTTTTTTGCGAGAAGACCTAATTCTTTAATATGAAGTTATCAATAAATCAATTTCTGTAATAGACGGATATTTTGTTTGTTTGGAAGCAAAATTCATGGTTGTATTATATTTCTTGTGCCGAATCTCGTATAAATTATACAAACCCTAGGATCCCAATCTACTGTCTTCAAAGAATAATTATTTACGTTGAAAAACAATAGAAAAATAATTAGCATTTAGTAGCAAATTACTTCAGTGATGAGTAGTGACTTCATTCTAATTAAACCATTTAAGTCAACTATATAACCGTACTTTAACTATAGTCAAAAACTTGTAGAGTTTCTTTGTAACAAAGTGCGCTGAATTATAAATTTATTTACTTCAGAACCTAAGTGCCGACCATATTGCCCATTGCCATGGAGTCCTCAATGTGGTACAGATGGTAAAACATACAGTAACCCATGTTTTTTGAAAGCTGCATTGTGTGAGAGTGATGGAAAAGTGAGACTGGCTCATCATGGAGAGTGTGGTATGTACATTACTCTTCAATTTTGGACTCTCTTATATATTAAGTTATATACTCTGTTCCAGAATGGTTATATTGCAACACATTCTGCCATTTATGATGAAATATACGATATCCAAATATTTGCTATCTTAGGACCAAACCCGGAGCCAACGTGTGCCGTTGCTTGTCCCAGAATAAGACTCCCTCCAGTATGTGGATCCGATGGCAATACATATCCCAATTACTGCATTTTGGAAGAGACTGCTTGTCAATTCAAACAGAACATCACGATTGTACACGAAGGCCCTTGCGGTAAGTGAAATGAGGTTTACCCTATAAATTAACGGTTTTTCCCAACCATTCTTAAACCATTGTATTCTTGAACCAATTCTTGCGTTCATACGATACCATAAAGAAAATATAAAGCTGTAATGCTAATATCTTAGAAACTTCACTGGTTATCTTATTTCATGTATTGATAAAGTTTCAAATGAGAAGAAAAAAAGTGTTATTATGAAAAAAAGAGTTTGACTTCATAAAAGTTTTAATTTGAAAAACTGATATCATGCATGATATAGAATGTGCGCAGCAATGAAACTAAACGAGGGACAGATTCCGGAGAGAAAGAGAATTTTCTGCCTATCTTGAAAGTAGCTGCAAAATGCTGCGATTCTTGTCCGTAGAGTTTCGTTACCGGACATTGTGTGGACGAGGTTAAGACATTTATAAATTCTCTCAATTCATTGTAGAACCAAAGTGTTCAGCAGTTTGCACAAAGGAATACAACCCTCAATGTGGTACAGACGGCAAAACATACAGTAATCCGTGTACCTTTAAACATGCTCAATGTCAAAGCAACGGAAAGGTTAGATTGGCGCATCATGGAGAATGTAGTAAGTATAAGTTACTCTTCATGCAATCTCAGATTTTCACGGCAATATACGTAGAACCAAAGTATACATGTCGTAGGACGTTCTGAACGGCACAATATGACACCCAAGATACAACAAAATATCTTGAAATATGTCCTGAAATATGGAATGATTCCCCACAATGTCACTGGATACAACAGAATTTTGCATTCAGAATTAATTAGAAAGACATCTCAAGATGATGCATATTTTAAAAATATCTTTCATGTTTTGTTTAACTTAAATGATCGTCAGTTGTTATTCTAAGACGTTGCTTTAATGTACGTTTTTATGATACTGCACGTGTGATATATATATATATATATATATATATATATATATATATATATATATATATATATATATATATATATATATATATATATATATATTAATTCATTTACATAATTCTTAAAAAATTGGCATCGCTACTCTGAGTTTCATGCGACAGAGGCAATCATCAGGCGACTAATTTCAGTTCGTTTCAGTTATTTATATATATATATAATATATATATATATTATATATATATATATATATATATATATATATATATTATATATATATACAGTCGTTATCAAAAAGGTTGTCATATGGAAATATATATAAATACGTAAATATCGGTCACGTGATTTTACTACATACGTTAATTTTATGAGAAATCGTTGGAAATCTGTCGTGAAAATTTCTTAAATGTCATAGTAAGGTGAACAATATTGTAATAATAAAGAAACAAGTGATAAATGATCAAAATATGCCATGTTTAATGGTCACGTGATTGATATTTATATATTTCTATATATATTGATCGGGACAACCTTTTTGATAACGACTGTATATATATATATATATATATATATATATATATATATATATATATATATATATATATATATATATATATATATATATATATATATATATATATATAGTCAAATTTCGAATATTGATAGGTAAATTTACCAATCGTTAGGTGAAGATTTGAAAAAATTCAAATTTAAATTATTTTTGTCTTGGGAAGACATGATTTAAATCAAGAGATTGGGGATGGGTGCATGCAAAGTCCATTTGGGTCGCTTTCCCCATGACGCCAATTTAATCCAAATGTTTGTGTGTTGCATCGTATATCCACTTTCATCATGCATCCCCCGAAAGCCGGAATTTGGGGCAATTGCCCGCACAATATCCTAGCATGTATCTCAGAATAATGAACTGGTGCCTACACGATAGCTTGAATTATTGCATGATGTTTCAATCTTAGAACCTACGTCGGAGGAGAAACCGAAGACGTGTGCCGTTGCTTGTCCCAAAAGGCGGCTCCCTCGAGTATGTGGATCAGATGGTAATACATATCCCAATTACTGCATAATGGAAGAGACTGCTTGTCAGTTCGGAGAAAATATCAAAGTTATTCACAAAGGGCCTTGCAGTAAGTTGTTAAAAGTGGTCATTTTGACCGCTGAATGTTAAACATGTTTTACTCCTCCACGGAGCTCATTTGTGGTTTTCTATCAAGCATCGCACTTTTATGTGACGGATTTACTTTTTTGCCAGAAGCCATAACTCTTTAATAAAGTTATCAATAAATCAATTTCTGTAATGGACTGATAGTTTTTGATTTTTTGCATGCTTTGGCTATATAGCTATTTAGCGAAACATGGCTATATTATTTTTCTCGTGTTTAGCTCGTATATATACATACCTATAGGATCCCCAATTTACTGTTGTCAAAGAGTAATTATATTTACGTTGGAAAATCACCTAAACAATAGGAAGAATGGGCCTAATTAGAATTTAATAAAAAATTACTTCACTGAAGAGTACTGGCTTCATTCTTGAACTATTCAAGCAAGCTAACCGTACTCTTGTAGTTCATAACTTGTAGAGTTCTTATGTCAAAGTGTGTTGAATTATAAATTTATTTACTTTAGAACCTAAGTGCCGACCATATTGCCCATTGCCTTGGAGTCCTCAGTGTGGTACAGATGGTAAAACATATAGTAACCCATGTTTTTTGAAAAGCGCATTGTGTGAAAGTGATGGAAAAGTGAGACTGGCTCATCATGGAGAGTGCGGTATGTAAATTACACCTCAATTTTAGACTTTCCTATATATTTAGTTATTCAGTTCAAGAATAGGTATATTGCAACACATTCTACCATTTATGATGTAATATACGATATCCAAATATTTGCTATCTTAGGACCAAACCCAGAGCCAACGTGTGTCGTTCCTTGTCCCAGAATAAGACTCCCTCCAGTATGTGGATCAGATGGCAATACATATCCCAATTACTGCATTTTGGAAGAGACTGCTTGTCAATTCAAACAAAACATCACGATTATGCACAAAGGACCTTGCAGTGAGTGAAATGAGATTTACTCTATATAGAAGCGGGTTTTCACAATTATCCTTAAACATTGTATTGAGCCAGCCATATCTTCACTGTTAAACCCCTGAAATATTCTCAATTTATTGTAGAACCAAAGTGTTCTGCAGCTTGTACAAGGGAATATAATCCTCAATGTGGTACAGACGGGAAGACATACGCTAATCCGTGCACCTTTAAATATGCCCAATGTAAAAGTAATGGGAAAATAAGATTGGCGCATCATGGAGAGTGTAAGGAGTAAGTTACCCTTTGATTCAGATCAGTCTTCTGACATATTCATCACCAACATTCTAAGACACTTTTAAGTCAGCGCTTATCAGTTATCACTTGACATCACCGCTTCAACTCTCAACAATTTACGAAAAATAATCCTGTGAAAATGGGCTTTTATAGATCTTTGATTTGTTCCGGGCTTGTAATTGTAGTCATGAAAGAGGCTTTACCGCGTGCTTTCATCTTCACTTCTCATTATTAAAATAAATGTTTTATCATTTTTACGTTATTCATTATTTAATATAGGCCTAGAAAGGGGTGAAGAACGAAGCCGGCATTCTGATGGCAAACTATTAGTTTAACAATGCGTAGTTTAGCATAGTTGCTTTAATAATTGTCAATCGAGTTACTTCTGTAAGATGTGTTCTATTGTGTTAGCTGTTAGTTTTTTTTTGCTTTTTTACAAATAAACGTTTCAGTGGTTAGAACTCTGTTCTGTTTTTCACGCTTTATTGCGTTTCCTTTTTAACGGCTTCTTATGTTTCTGTTGAATAAACAACTAATGTTCGCAGATTGTTATTTCGATATCTGAGACATGGGAGACTAAAATGTATCTTAAATCTCTAGGAGGCAATCGGGTTAAATTTAGGAGTGCCGGTTGTACATGTTGGAGGGTCTAATCCTGGATTGTATCTACATTGTGGTTACATGTTTTTATGACTCTAAAATACACATGCAGTTACTCATTCATTTACTCAGAAAGACCAAGTGGACAATAAATAAGTTATTTCTGAATGATGACATATGAACAACCTTAAAGCTTAGTATTTGTGTCGTATTTGTGACGAACAAGTCATTTATTTTTAAACAGTCATTGTTGACCGCACCCACACAGAAATATTGTATTACATGAAACACCTCCACACGTGCTCAGGATAATTACGACTACTTTTTTATTAGTTCTCAATATAGGCTTCGTTTTATTTGTATAAATTCAATATTCAATTTATTATTAGAAAAGTCTCTACATTCACAAACATTTGTTATCAGGTATATTTAATTATACAAGTTGTTTGTACACTGGCGGTCAAAAAGAACTGCTCAAATGTTTCTATAATCGTATGTAACAGGAATCGTAACAATCTATCTTTTATTGTACACTAGCGTTCAAAAGGAACTGTTTAGATACAAATTGATAAGAAGGAAGCGAATATAGGAGAGAGCTTCATAGGCATTTTGTATAATTCTCTTATTCTAAACAATGTTTGTAATGCAACCTGCCACTTCCAAGATACAGTCAAACAATGGTTTCAGGAAGAGGGAGTGACAGAAATGGATTGGCCTGCACAGTCAAAAGACATTCACCCTATTGAAAATCTGTGGGATAATGTCAAGGGGATAGTGCAAGAAAAAAATTCATTCATAAGGCGCCCATGATTTATGCGTTGCTGTATAGACTGTCCAAAGGATGAATTTCTTTTGACCGTGAAGATTACCACCTTAACAGAAAGCATGCCACGCCGGTGTAAGGCCGTCATCAATTATAAGACCAAAGGAGGGTCAACAAAATATTAATATTTCATATAACTTTGCGTGTAATATAGTCTATATTTACTCGTATATATTGTTAGAGGGACAGTTACGTTCATTTGAGAGGATTTTAACTTATTTTAAGCAGTTTTTTTACCGCCAGTGTATATTCAATACAACACGGCCGCTCGTGTAAGCATTAGTGAGCTTAAGCAAGTGACGTTTTTGACAACACGTACGTTAACCGGAAAGTTTTTGTTTTTCACTAATCACAATCCTTGACCCAGTCTTTTAACGTTACTCATGCCGTTTGTGTTGTCAAAAACGTCACATGCTTAAGCTCACTATTCCAAACATAAATCGTGGCAAACACGCGCCAGCTGCTTTGATTATAGTAAAAGATTTGACAATTTGACCGGGTCAACCTATGCAAAAGCTAACTAACATCAGTTTAATTAACGTGATGTGAAAAACTGTTAGTTAAGAAATAGAAAACATTTTCCGTGTTTCTATACAGTTATAGAAACACGCGTGGGAGTTTGGGAGAACGTCAAATAATCAGTGCGTTATTTCTAGTAGAGGCTCGAGACTGTTTCTATACAGTTATAAAAACACGCTTCTTGACCAATCAGCACGCGCGTACCACAAATGTTATATTATAAATATAAATGGAGATGCCTAACTGAAATAACAAAAAACCTTTGTTGACATGCCTACTATAAAAACGTTATACCTGAAAAAAGAAAATACATCATAAATACATCACCAGCAAATGACTCTATAATGTAAACGGCATATTACTTCATCAGGAAAAACCAATTCAGGTACATCAGTTAACAGTAATAAGTTGTTATTAGAGAGATTTAGTTTGACGTTTTTTCTTCAACCGCTAAGCGTAAACCGCGGCTTGACGTTGAAGTTTTTCCATTTTACGTTTGCGGTTCACGTTTTCAACCACTGCATGGAGGTGTATTAGTTTTGACGTAGTTCATTTACCTGAGCGAATTGTCATTGCAATAGTGTCTCGTTTCACGTATAAACATTACTAATATAGTAGACATATTGGATATCCATATCTTTGTGGTAATTTTCTGGCCTGCTTTCAATGAGTTTACCGAGCGTCTACCGCTATTCAATAACACGATTGGCAATTGGCGGTTTACTATGATATCGTAGGTCAATTGTCGGTTATTAAAATGGAGGTTCTTTTCAACTTTTCCAGGTGTAAATGACACTTGATTTCAAAAAAATTGAAGCATTAGAAATAGCTGGTAGAAATTTAACAGCGAAACTGTTTACTGGATGCCAATTTTGAATCGCTCTAAGATAAAGTATAGGTAAATGACTGCTAACTAAATGCCAAATTTGCAACAACGGCAACGTCAAACTGCTAACGTGAAACCGCGGTAAATGTCTAACTAAAACTCTCTATTAAGTATTATGTGTATACTCTTAATTATGGGGATACAGTTTGGGTGCTATCTCCTGTTAAATAAATTAAAATTCACTGTCAGACAAAGACATACTGTCCAAAACATTTGCATAATAAAGTCCTACCAGGGTCAGATATTTGCCAAGCCAACTATGCATATTTTATATATAAGAGATGCCTGCGGAGGAGGCTATGCTGGATCCGGAAAAATGTGTCAAACGGAAATATGTGTCAGTTATTTAAATTTAGGAACCATTCATTGCTATACAAGGCGTCAAACACTTACCTATACTAGAATCTAGATGGACTGAGCGCACGACCTATCTAACCAGCAGCTGAATGGGATCAACGTTGCTCACGTCATAATATAGGTCTTTGCTCTCATTCGTAAATTTGCTGACCGAAAATAACTGGCTCGTAATTCGGATATCGGAGTGAGTGATATAAAAAGTTGATTGAAATATGATATAAATTTAAGTTCAATTTCTGACCATTTTCCTCTTCTGGTCTAAAGAACGCGAATATGTTTCTTATGTTGTCCTTGTTATAAACTGACGAGCGATCGCGTTCGAAGCATTTGTACCGTTCGATAAATATAAGTTCGAGCCGAAAAATGAAAAAGCAAAAAATGAACAGAAAATTTAGCTACTTCGTTTTTATAAATAAGGAGTAACTGCAGAGGGCTTTAAGCTCTTCAGTCAAAATTTTTAATACTCTCTCATGGACAACTCCAACAATTGACAAACTAGAATATTTGACAACAAGTAATTGTAATGTGCGAGGGGTTATTAAAACATTGTAATTAAATTTGCACAAGATACTTACTAAAAACTTGTTTTGAAAATGTAAACCCACCCACAAACCCAAACAAATATCAGTCTGCGGTAATTTTCATCGACGCGTGGACCTATATGACGTGAGCAACGGTGGGGACACATTAAGATCTCAAGGCTCAGACCATCTAATATAGGTCAGTGGCGTCGAAGCCATGCAACTGAGTTGCTTCCATTTGTCGTTTTTTACCAATATTTAACCATTTTGGCAGTAATTACAGGACTGCAGGGTGGATATACCTGTATGATGGTGGACAACTTGCTCCTAAATCTATTTTGAATAGCGTGCTAGGACACAATTCTGAAGTTGAACACTTGTTTGTGCATGTAATCGATAGAAAACGTATATCGCATAAAACATTTCCAGACAACAACTTCCTTACCAAAGCTGTTCCTTGCGCTGTTTTTTTCCAGACGTAATTTCCTTTACCAGCTAAGTTGAGTCGAGGCTGGCTTTTTTTCCTGACGTTATTTCCTTTTACCAGCCGAGTTGAACCCAGGCTGGTTTTTTTCCAAACGTAATTTCCTTTTACCAGCCGAGTTGAGTCGAGGAATATTTAAATAGTTCATCTGCGGTCTGTTTTTGTCCTACATATGCGTATAACACCTGCACTCTAAGTCTTATTACAAGTGGAACTTGTCATTTTAAACAGTAATATTTGAACAATATTTTAATAAATAATAAATTAAGCACTTATATATGGCGCGAACATTTTCTTGCATATTCATTGCTCCCAAGACTTACCAAAGATCGGATACTTGCAGCTCATCGAATAACCGAATTCGCTCCATGATGGAGTTCAGATATTTCTTCATATTTCTTGATAGGAATGTTATAATGTCAAGCTATTAACGGAATGTTAATTGAATGTATCCATCTTGCTTGGAAGCCCAGTTCGCTAAATTCAGTTTTAATTTCTTAGCTTCGTTGCCCACTTTAGACATTTCAAGTCGTTTTGCAAAATTACAA